ATTTTTTTTTTTTTTTTTTTTTTTTAGGGTTTAGTAAAAGATGTGGAGGGTTTAGAGCGTCAATTGTTGGGTCGTTTTCCTAACACTTATGCATTTACTAAACGTTTATGTGAGGCATTAATTGTTAGGGAATATCAATTAGCTAATGCTGTTGCACTGCAGCAGCAGCAGCAGCAGCAGCAGCAGCAGCAGCAGCAGCAGCAGCAGCAGCAGCAGCAACAGCAGCAAGGGGATACCTATAAACCCTACCACCTTGATCCACCCCAACAACCCCACCAGACCCATCCCCAGAATCCCCACAACCAGCAGCAGCAACAGCAGCAACAGCAGCAGCAGCAGCAGCAGCAGCAGCAGCAGCAAATGTTACAGGAGGAGGAGAGTTTATTTTCTGGTGGTATAATGCCATTAACATTCCCTATTTGTATATTAAGACCATCAATAATTGGATGTGCATATCTAAACCCTAAAAGAGGATGGATAGATAATGTTAATGCTACTGCAGGCATGCTTCTTCTATGTAAGTTATTCCTCCTGCTCCTGCTGTTGCTCCTCCTCTTGCTGCTGCTGCTGCTGTTGCTGCTGATGGTGGGAAGGGTTGGTGTTGTTATTATTTGCTGTTTTTATAGTATCTTGCTGTGTTTTTATTCGTAATATTAGTAATATTACTCCTAGGGTTTAGGGTTTAGGGTTTAGGGTTTAGGGTTTAGGGTTTAGGGTTTATATATGTATATATGTGTACAGGTGCATTAGGTATATTAAAATGTTTACCTGCAAACCCTGATCTAATAGGAGATCAGATACCTGTAGATGTTGTTGCTGATTCAGTAATAGTTGCTGCTGCTGCAGTAGCTGTATCTCATTGTATATTAATGCAGCAGCAGCAGCAGGAAGCAGCAGCAAAAGGACAGCAACCAGGTCCTGCTGCAGCAGCAGAAGCAGCAGCAACACCACCATCTACTATATCTACACGTAATGCAGCAAAATATATAAACCCTAATTGTATGTTATATCCTGTCCCTCTCCCTCCTCTTGATACCCCAACAACAACAGCAGCAGCAGCAGCAGCAGGAGCAGCAGCAGCAGACCCTCTAGCAGTAGTAACAGCAGCAACAACAGGATCAAAAAATAAATATATAGGACCAACTGCTGCAGCACCAGCAGTAGTAGCAACAACAGAAAAATCACAACAAGGATCACGATCAGCACCGACGAGTAACCAATCATTAGATTCATCTTGTTCTCCTCCTCCCTCTTATTCCTCTTCTTCTTCCTTATCATTATCAGCATCAGCAGAAAAAGGAGGAAAAGGAGTAGGAGGTATATATATAATACATGTATGCAGTAGCGACCTAAATCCTACATATTGGTGCGATTTATTAATTTATGGAAGAGAATATAATTCTTTATTTCCATTTTATTCAAGAATTATAAATCAATTACAATCACCTTTCTTTGATACAGATTTCTTATTATTTAAAAGGTAATTCTTTTTTTTTTTTTTTTTTTTTTTTTTTTTTTTTTTTTTTTTTTTTTTTTTTTTTTTTTTTTTTTTTTTTTTTTTT